TTTGGCTGTTTGTAAAAAACAGTTTGGACTGTTTTGAGAGCTAACCTGTACACTGTTTTAAGAGCCTCTATACATGGCATCTTAGCTAATTAAGGTCYTCATTTGTCTTTTTAACTTAAAAAATATTGAATATAAATACCATTTTACCTACACTCATTATGATACGCCACCTTCCAAAACAGCGCAAATTATTTTCTAGAAACAGCCAAAGTTTTTTTTAGTGAAATATGAGCATGCCATGTTAAAAAAAATAAAAAAAATCAACTGATGTAATGTATTGATGAACTTATTGCAAACACCAATGTATTTGCATTTCACCGGGAGGTCACTGAAGTGTTATGCAACCATAGTCGCAGATAATGCGAGTTCTTTATAGGGATAGAATAAAACAAAGCCTAATCAAATTTGGCTTTTTTTTTTTTTTATTAGTCCAAATTAAATTTCACCGTAAACAAGGAGATTGATTAAAAGAACAGCTTATCACTTGCACTCAGATTCTTCTTTTTAATTTATTTTCAATGAAGGTGAGTTTGGAGCACCATTAAATCATGATTGGGACGATACTCAGCCTAACTCGCCTGTTATCGAACCAGTGAGGTGAGTAGGTGAATAGGGCGATCCCTGTATCAACTCACTGGTTGCTGTCCACACCCCAAACAAACAATGAGGGACACCTAAGATATGCGGCAGAGCACGAATAAATTATTACTTACAAGATACGAGATGCATAGAAGTTATCGGATTCCAGCGGGATGACGTGGCTTTCAGCTTGACCACGTGGACTGTGGGTCCCCCTTTTGAGCTGTCCAGCAGAACTGACCAATGGCCTCCATTGACAGGAGAGCCAACCAATTGAGGCATAAAGCATGGTAAAGCAAACGGCGCCAAGATCGGAAAAAACCCACTAAAGCTGAACACGCCACATCAGCTTTACCTCAATGTGGGACCCAAACACCACCGCCCTTTCTCTGGCTTCTTCCTCCGAGTGGGACCCGTTTAGGTACTGGATAGCTTTCCAGGCTAGAAAGTCGAGCCTCAACACCATCCTTTATGGTGGGACCACTGACCGCGTGACACGTGGCAACTATTTGGGTTGGGATCGTAGGAGCCATCTGTGATGATGAACTGGCGAACCGTTGAGATGTGCGGTTCATAGTTTTCTCTTTTTTATTATTTACTTAAATTTAGAATGAAAAGAAAAATAATAGAATAGTCAATATTCTTTCGTTCCAGCAATTATAGACGTTGGTGGGTGTCGGTCAGGAGATTCTTTTTCGTTGTGTAAGCAGTATAAATAGACGCCATTTCCACCATTTCTTTCATTCGATCGCCATCACTTGCTCTGCTTTCGCACTTGATCACTCTTCTCTCGCTTAGACTCTGTGTTCTTTCTTGATTCATCAATGGCTTCCGTCGAGGTGAGCCATCTTTCTTACTCTCTCTCTCTCTCTCTGAAAATCCAGATCATTGGTTCTTCTTGTTGTTCGTTTGCTAGTAATCTTGATATTGTTTAGTTGCAGATCGATTTGCACTACATATCTGTTTGATTGATATTAAATCCCTTCCAAAAGAGGAAATTAAAAAACTTTGATTCATTTGGATCGTTTTCGGTGGAGAATAAGTAAGCCACAAGTGAGGTCGATCGATGTTTTCTCTTGATGATCACTGAAGATGAGTTTACTCATCAAAGGAATTTCGATTCATACTGACGATGACGAACTGCCTAATAGAGATCTAGGAAACTTCTGATCAAGATGATCAACTGCTTAGGAATTAGGACCAGAGGGTTAGATCATACATATACAGCCTATTTTGGATGTATCGGCATGCAAATCTTTAGATCATCTCTTTAAGAACTACAATCGTATTGAGAGGAAGCTTCATACGCTCCAGAGAAACCAGAGCATCTGCAACAAGATGATCATCTGGTTCGCCATGTTACGATGCATCGGTCTACAGCCACAAAGTGTAGATCCTGGGCTTTTGTTTTCTGGATTGGAGTTTTCTCTTAGGATCTGGATCAAAATAATAGGAATATSCAGATAATGAATTTTCTGACTATGAGGATTACAATCCAAGCTTTGGTGGTCGCGATCTACATCTATAGCTGTAGATCAAATCATCAAAGGCTAGCTTCATCTTACCGCCACCTTTGCTGAGGTAGCTTAAATGGAATAAACTTGATGAGCTAGTCTTTAAGGTCCCTGAGTCACCAATCTGGAGCCCTTTGATTGGTGGGCCATGTCCAACATCTAGCCATTGATATTTATTTATTTTATATTCAGCTGTCTCATCAGTTCAGGTTGATCAAAAGGTTTTTATATTGATTTCCCATTTTCCTGCTGAGCTTGGGTTGGGCTTTACCTTTAATCATCTAGGTTACGTGGTTGTATTAGGCCCTTTTTCATTTTATTCTTCTCAGTTTTCCTTTTAATTTAATTTTAATTGAAGGGGAACTTTTGTAGTATTATATGATAAAATCATTAAACAGCACGGGCATTCCAGTCATTCCATTCGATAATTGCATGGTATTTAAAACATAAAATCTCACGTAAAGGGCATAATCGGTATTTTGGATGGTAATAATATTTTAATGTGTGCAAAGACCTATTTTGGGCTTTTTAGTTTTAGCCTTGTCCGAGGATGGCAATAGTCGACAAGTTGTAAATTGCAATTTTCGTTTTCATTTCCATTTTTATATCTTGGTGGGCYCAAGTGGGTCATATCAATGCCCAATAAGAAATTACCCATAATGTACTCCACTATCTATTTTATTTACGAGATTACCTGGTATGGACGGTTATTTTTTCATTTCTTTAGCTGCATCAAATCCAGGACCCATGTAGCAAATTGGGTGGTCATGATCATAATACAAAATTGAATTATCACCCTTAGGTTCTAAGGTGGGACCTATGTTGTTCACTCAGCATCTGGTTGGATGTTATGGTTTGACACGTGTGGCTATTATATTGATACATGAGGTCGTGGGTCCACATTGCAGGTCGATGCAACCCCAGCTGCAGAGGTTTTCAGCAAAACAGAAGARAAAACAGAGGTTCCTCCCACTGTAGAAGAACCAGCAGCAGAACCAGTTGAAGTGGAAGCTGCTTCTCCGGCGGCCGAAGTTGAGGAGCCCCAACCAGCGACGGAAGAAGCTCCCAAGGAAGAAGAGGTTGAAGTAACCAAGGAGGAAGAGAAGGAAGAGAAG